GCTTGTCTAAGGCCATATAGAGATTTCTTAAGAAGGCAAACCTTATTTTCTCCTTGCTCATATCCAGGTGGCTGGATCATATAGATATCAGTGTCCAACTCCCCATTTAAAAATGCATTGTCCACATCTATTTGTCTTGTTGGCCAAGATTTGGTGACAGCTATAGAAAGGACTGTTCTAATTGTGGCAGGTTTCACCACAGGGCTGAAGGTTTCAGTAAAATCTAGCCCTGGTATTTGACTAAACCCCTTAGCCACTAATCTGGCTTTGAATCTTGCCACTGAGCCATCTGCATTCTTTTTGAGTTTGAAAATCCACCTGCAGCCTATAGGCTTTTTCCCTGCAGGAAGCTCAGTTAAATGCCAAGTTTTGTTAGCAATTAAAGCCTCATATTCTTGATCCATTGCATGTTTCCAGTTCTCATCTTGAAGTGCATCATCAAGGTTGGATGGTTCAAGGTAGTTTGCTGTCTGTTGTGCACAAGTAAAGATCTTCTTCTTGGAAATTCCAGCTCTTCCCCTTGTGATCATAGGGTGAATATTCTCTGCAGTGGCATTGTTAGGAGCAGCAATAGGAGCAGGTGTAGTATGACTATCAACAGCAATTGGTAAATCTATATAAATCTGTCCAATAGGTATTCTGGGAGAAGAATTGGATGAAGATGTGCTATGATGAGAAGAAGAATTTGATGAAGAATGTTGAGAGTGTGGAGGGGTGGGAGTGGTATGATTGGAGGTGGAGTGGTGGGGTGAAGGGGTGTTGAGACTGTTATGCTGTGTGGTGGAGGGGTGAGGTGATGGTGGTGTATGAGGTGCTGTAGTATTTGGTGGAATGACAAGTGGAGGAAAAAGAAGACTGAAGTCAGGTTGGTTTTGGTTTAAGGGATTATCAAGTTTGTCTTGAAAAGGAAAAACCTGTTCATCAAAGGTTACATGCCTAGAAATTATAATTTTTTTATTAGGCAGCCGAACCTTATATCCCTTGTACTGATCATGGTACCCAATGAAGACACTCAACTGGCTTTTGAAGTCAAGTTTGTGCTTGTTGTATGGTTTCAAATAGGGATAACAAGCACAACCAAAAACTTTCATGTGGTTATAATCTGGCTTTGAGCCTGTTAACATTTCAAAAGGAGACAGAAATTTCAAGACTTTGCTAGGTACCCTATTCAATAGGTAGACAGCTGTGGAAAAGGCATGATCCCAAAACCTTTTAGGGAGAGATGAATGAGCTAAAAGGGATAAACCAGAATTCACTATGTGTCTGTGCTTTCTCTCAGCCATTCCATTTTGCTCTGGGGTATAAGGACATGACATTCTGTGAGTTATGCCATTTTGAAGGAAGAAATCAGATAGAGGTTTATACTCAGTCCCACCATCACTTTGTACAATTCTGATTTTCTTTGAAAATTTATTTTCAACAAGAGTCCTGAAGTGAATAAAAGCATTTGATGCATCAGATTTGTTCTTTAAGAAATATATCCATTTGAATCTAGTTTTGTGATCAACAAAATTAATATAGTAGCTGTGGCCAGAATCTGATTTGATGGAACAAGGCCCCCATAGATCAGTATAGATTAACTCAAGGGTATCATAACAATCAGTGAGAGAATCATCAAAAGGAAGTTTATGACATTTCCCCATAAAGCAAGAGGAACATAGATGTTTGCTCCCATTGTCAACAAAGTCAATATTACAGCCTCTAAGAGCCCTTTTTACAATATCAAAGGATGAATGTCCTAATCTATTGTGCCAAAGGCCTAAACTAGATTTATTCTTGATAGAGGTTGTATGAGTCTGAGGTTGGAACCTTGAAAATGAGGGAGATACTTCAACTTTACTTCCCTTAGCTGGCTTCATGTCAAAGCAATATAATCCATTAATAAGTCTGCCTTTGAGAAGTGTTACTCCTGTGACTTGATCCTTAAGAAGACAGAAGAAAGGGTGAAATTCGAAGTACACTTTGTTATCTCTAGCAAACTGAGAAACACTCAACAAGTTCTTAGTTATATGGGGGACACAAAGGAGATTGTTAAGAACAAAGGAATGATTTTTATTGGACACAGACTTTAATATAGATGAACCAATATGAGTGATAGGCATACCTGCACCATTTCCCATTTCAATCTTGTCATCACCATGATATTCAGCTGCCAAACTGAGATTGTTGAGATCTGCAGTAATGTGGTTTGTTGCTCCTGAGTCTGGCAGCCACTGAGACTCTTGAAAGTTGTGATTTGCCTCTGATCCACCAAAGTTGCTACCACTGTAAGAACTGAGGT